ATCTGTATTTGTTTACAAAATATCCAGACAATCATTGGTTGTTTTATTGGCTTATATTTATAAAATCTACATAAAAAATTGGTAAAATCATTTCAGCTGCCAAACATCGTAGACATATCAGAGTTTTTATATATGAGTATGCTGTTTGGATTAAATATGAAGTTTTATACAGAGGACTGAAACAAGAAATAGTTCTGTTTAATATATTTGCTTTGTGCAGCGTATCATTGTCACGGCTATTGCGTACTTATTGTATATTTCATATTTCTGTTCTGTGGACTTTTTTTTTTTTACACAGTGAGATATGAAGTCTAACGCCGAAGACTTGGTGAGATGTTTATGCTTTACGCTATGCAATTCACACATTCAAATAAGCTGTATTTGTATGTTTGCTTTATTATTACAGTATTATGGAAGAAGACAATAAACATTTCGCTTCATATTTTACCAGTTATTTTAATCCTTTTCATTCTTCCCAACACTGATGTTGCATAGTTAGCAGGTTTAGTCTTAGGGGTGTCATCAATGCAAAGTTCATAATAGTACAACATTGTCTTATCATCCACTTTCTTATTGCTTCCACTCAGTGGCCACTTTATTAGAAACACCTCCCTGTTTCTTCTACTCACTGGCCACTTTATTAGAAACACCTACTTTGTGCTGCCACTCACTGGCCACTTTATTAGGAACACCTCCCTTTAACTCACTGGCCACTTTATTAGAAACACCTCCCTTGCTCTTCCACTCACTGGCCACTTTATTAGAAACACCTCCGTTGTGTTTCCACTCACCGGCCACTTTTTTAGAAACACTGCCCTTGTGCTTCCACCTGCTGGCCACTTTGTTAGAAACACCTCTATTGTACTTTCACTCTCAGGCCACTTTATTAGAAACACCTCCCTTTTTCTTCCACTCATTGGCCACTTTATTAGAAACGCATCCCTTATACTTCCACTCACCGTCCAATTTATGAGAAACACCTCCTTTTTTCTTCCACTCACTCTCCACTTTATTAGAAACATCTCCCTTTAACTCGCTGGCCACTATCTAGATATCTTTCCTCACTATGGCTCCTTTTGACTGAAAGGATAAAAACTTGCATCTGGAGTCAATTTTGTGCTGAATAAAGAAGGATGTGCTGTTTTCTTTAGCATTATGTTTGAGGACTGGAGTCAGAGTTAGAGGAGTAGCAGGTAGCCAGGTGGTCAGAAAGCTGAACCAGCTGTTAGAAGGTTGTGGGTTAAAGTCCCAGGACTGGCTGGGTATACCTAGATGGGCCTTGGCCATGTTGTTTTGAAGCTGATCTTTTTCCTCAATACTCTGCTTCAGAACTGCTGATCTTAATTCAGATTTTAATCTGAATTAATCTGAATTAATACATCCAGTCACTTACAGAAAAGACCAGATCTAAAAGACCCTACCAAGCCAGATTGACCTCATTTCATCCAATAGAATGGACAAAACTATTGCCTCAGGTGTTTTTGATCCAGGCTTCAGTGACCGCTGCCCTATCGGATGCAATTGGAAACAGCTTTATTACTGTACTTCAGAAACTTCTGCACTTCAGAAATTCCAGATGTCAATATATCAATAGACCACTTTATTATCAATAGACCATTTTATTAAAACCTTTCTAGCGGTGGTAAATAAACATGCCACATACAAAAAATTCAGAATTCAAGATCACTGCAGTCCCTGGCTCACTACTGAAATCTCACTGCTTTAGTAAGGAAAATGGGTCTATATAGAACCATGAACACTCAAAGAACCCTGAAAGGGTTAAAGGGGTTATTTGCGTATTCTGACTGATGGACACTGGGCTGTAGATGGTTCTATACAGAACCTTTTTAAAAAAGTGTTCTATTTAGCACCAAAAAGGGTTCTTCTATTGTTACAAGCCTGACATTGTCACAATAGCAGACCCCTTTTTGGTGCTATATAGATCCCTTATCAAAATGTTCTGCATAGAACCATATACAACAGATTCTATCAAACCCGGTCTAGTGACTGGATCACCCATCAGGTTCAGAGAGTTTTTACTGAACTGGGAACTGGAATACACTACATACTTAAAAAGATGGTTCTTCAAGGGTTCTTTAGTAAAGAAAATGGTTCAATACAGAACCATGAACACTCAAAGAACCCTTTGCATGATTAAAGTGTTCTTTGCATTGTGAAATTGTTCTTCATATTGATGGAGAAAGTGTTGAATTTGGTTCTATATAGAATCTTTTTGAAAATGGTTCTATGTAGCACCAAAAAGGGTTCTTTTATTGTTGCAAGCTTGGCATCCAAACAATAGAAGAGTTCTTTTTGGTGCTACATAGAACCATATGCAGCACATTCTCCATCCATCTGAAGAACCGTTACATGATGCAAAGAAGCCTTTAATCATGCAAAGTTACTGTTTCTGTTTTATTTTACTATTTTAAAACTGATTTTATTTCTAAGATTTAAAAAAAAATCTTATTGCTTATTATCTTAGTTGGTTCTCTTACTTTTAATTTGCTTTCATTATATATTTTATTGCTATTAAACTTTTTTCAATCCCTGTTTTTCCTGCTCGGCTGCACTGTAAACGAGGGTCACCCTCAATGCACTTCAGAGTCAAAATAAAGGTTGATTGATTTTTGCTCCACAAGAAGAAAACGACACCGATTTATATTTCACTTCTTATCTTTTAATGAAATTCAAGATGCTGTAATGAGATTGCATAAGCTTCCCTGAGCGCCCAACTTTCCCTCCATCAGAACTTTTTTTTACGTTTTTTTCTGCAATATTTATAATTTTCCCCAAAAGTGATACAGTCTGATCTGTTAAAGCTACAGTTAAAGAGAAAACAATTCCACCCAAGAGTTAAAATCAGCACTAGTAATTGTACTTTAGACTATAACAGTGGTACATGATGTGTTCTGGAATCAGATGATGTTCTGAACTCATCAGAAAGCCATGGTGACGGCAGCTGGCTCAAGGTAGTTGAGAGAACGGCGTCTTCGTCTGGCCCCAGGGTTGCACGACTAGGAAGGAAAATGAGAATGATGAGTTTGGGAGGTAAAGGAAAGGGGAGCTTTGGTGTCGGTCCTTAAACACCCCAGTTGACCTACTCATGTCCTACTCTTAGCAGCATAGGTAACAAATGCTGTACTTTATTCACTGTATTTTCTCATGACCACTGTGTTTCGAGATTCTGGCTGAATTATCCAGTTAGGTAATGAAAACGTTGAGTGTGTTTACATGCGCTTAATAATCTGATAACTGCAGAAAATCAGATTTTGTCAGTAATCCGATCAACATGACTAGGTCTGTGTCTGTGCGGGACTGGTTTTTCAGTCCCGATCCCGCCCGCTCGCCCCCGCAAGATTTCATCCCACTTCCACAGAAATTCTGAAACTTTGGTCCGGCTCCCACCAGCGCAGTCCTGTGAAGGCGAACTAACATTGTCTATTCACAAATACATTGTTCTCTGCTGAAATAACCCAGCAGTCATGGTCATCAGGCTCACTGTGAAGTAACTTCACCAAACGCCATTTATTCCCAGTGAACACAGAGCAGGAATTAAACCACAGAGCGGTTATTGTTGGTGTTTTACTGGGCAGCTATGCCCGTCGGACTGAAGGCTCTGCCATCTCTGTAAGATACAAGAATTTGGGTGTTGTTCACGTGATCGGCTGCTTCGCAACACTTTAGAAACACTTCATACATTTTAATTGGTTTACTGTTATTGTTTTATATTGTTTACATAACTGATTTAGTGATTGTTCTACTTTATTTAGGATGTTCATTCATTTGTGAGATTTCTCTTCATGCGTGTTTAAGCCCACTCCCACTTGCAGTGGGCTGGTTTCCCGCCCAGGGAGTGCAGACCTCTAGAGTAGACTGAGCAGGTCAACAGAAAGCCAACAGACTAACACTAAGCCTTCAAAGAAGGAGTTACTTAGAAACTGAGACATACAAAGTAAAGAATGTTATTTAACCTGTTACAAGCATAAAATGTGTGTATTTATACTAGAGCTTACATCAAAATCCAATACAGCACCAAGCTAGTGGGGTTAGCTCAGTGCTGTGTTGGATTTTGATGTCAGCTCTAATATACAAAAAGTAATCGCCCACTTAGTTAATCAATCAACCAAATTTGGTTGGTAACTGCGATCACTTAAGCTAGACACACCTAAGCTTAGTCACTGCCAGCCCTGTTGGGTCTAAACATCACTTAAGTAGAAAATTCCAGCAACATGCAGTAAGCTAAAATGTCTCACCTAGCAGCGCATTCAAAAGACATTTCGGTAACGATGAGTAAGTTATTGAAATATTTCAATCTGAAAGGGTTACAAAGCCATTTCTAAGCCTCTGGGACTCCAGCAAACCACAGTGAGAGCCAATATCTCCAAAGGGAGAAACAGGAACAGTAATGAAGTGACTACTAAAATTCCCACACAGCGATAACTCGTCCAGGAAGTCACAAAAGAACCCAGACGAACATCTAAGGAGCTGCAGGCCTCGCTCGCAAGAGACTGGGCAAAAATGGTATCCATGGGTTTGTCCCGCAATCTAAACATTTGGTCCCACTTCCGCCCACAGTCCCTTATAGGTTGGTATCAACTTACTTAAGCTATTCATTCATTTCTGGGATTTCTCTACACGTTTTATTGTCCCGTTCCCGCCAGCACTGGGATGGTTAACCTCCCACTCTTGCACACGACACTGAAAATGAGCCCCATGCCACAAGGTATCATGGTGGGTCCTGCGGAAATGCAGACCTCTAATCCCCATTCCCATGCAGCTCTCTACTGTGGACTTGCTTACCTAATATTTTATAAAATCTCACATAATAAAAACAGTGATATATATATATATATATATATATATACTGAATTGAGAGCTTTATCTCGAACAATAAAATGCAATACATTGAAATGTTACACCCCAATTGGCTGATGTACCTATGACATTGTGCCCATCCCAGCCATGTGCTGCTCTGAACTGACCTGTACACATGAGCCCTTGTTCTTCAGGCACAGGTGCACCTCACAGTGCAGGTAGACTTTGTCAGAGACGCTCGTAAAGGTGAACATCCTGAAGGAGAAGCGGGCGGACGTGGAAACGCCATTCTGCAGGACCTGCACAGTGCCATCTCGAGGGTTTGGGCAGCTTAAAGAGAAAAATGAGAGTGAGGAGTGACTTCACTGCTTATCTAAACCAAATCTTATTGCACTAAATCACTCGCCTGTAAAAACCCAACAGAAATGTTGCTCTTGCATAAATAATCCATTCAAATTTCATAACTGCTATTGTGTTTTGTAAATCTTTTATCAGAAGTAGCTCTCACTCGTTGATGATCAGGTCCCAGCGGATGGTGCTGTTGATCTCATCAGAGGGCGTGGCCCAGCAGTGGTCCAACACGGTAGAAATCTGCTGGTTGTCGACTCCTTCAACCTCCACGGCCACAAAGATCTGCTGGTTCACATCAACTGTGACATCTCCAGAATAGGGAGCGATGTAGGAAGCATTGGGATAGGGGATCATGCGGATCTGGTATGATCCCTGATTCAGGAGCTCCTTGAACACCACACCGCTGAGGAAACAACACTCAGAGTTCACAGATATCCACAATCTAAGGCTTATTATTCAGTAACTACAAGGAAAAATAATGCTAAAGGAGTGAGTAACGGAGGTCTGAATGTAGGTCTCTCGAGAAGAGAACATTAGCACCTGGTCATTTACGAATGTCTGAGTAGGCCTGGTTATTGTCCAGAATTTTTCAGTGCCGATATCATTTCCCATATCTTCACTTCAATTCCAATTCCCAAACGATACTTTGGCAACACCTTGACTTCAGTATCGGTTACTTTTTTTAGATTTTGAGTTCAATTCCTGAACAATATTTTTTTAGGTAGCTTCTTTTATATACAAAAATTATTGAGTTAAAAGTCATATATTGCTTTGAAATAAACACTGTTTACTACTATTACAACTTGTGTTTTACACATTTAATTACTTAAATGTGTCTGGGATTCTCTGCTCTCCCGACTTCTAACACGACCCTATCGGAATTCAGCGGTTTTAGATAATCACGATGATGTTCTAAATGTTCCACTCATAGCATCGTACCCAAAAACAAATTTTTGACTGATCTATGTGTGTGTGTGTATATATATATATATATATATATATATATATATATATATACATATAGCTGCTGTCGGAAGAAAACCTGGTATCTTCATTTTTGAATTTTTTCACTTTTTAACATAATTTGAAAATGCCTGTTCTCCTTAACATTGTCTGTAAATTTCATGATGAATGGACTAAAAGAAACAGCCCAAAATGACTTGGAAAAAAGTCTGGTTCCATTGACTTACGTTAAAAGTAAGGTGTGTTTTTTCTTCTCCTGTAAAGTTACCATTACGGAGATACGAGGTTTGTTCCAACAACAGTGATATATATACATATATAAAGGTAGGTGTGGTTTAGACCAGAAACAAGTGTACTACTAGTCAAATTGGCAGAATAAGAAACAGCCAATGCCTGCTTAGCTACTGAAATTTGAGTATTTTGATACTTAGCAGTAATAAAGTAATTTGGTTGGTACCATTAAAGTATCAAATTTAGCCCTACCTGCCTACCCCCCCCCCAGCCCTATGTTTGAGTGAGTGAGAATTCAGTAAGGCAATCTTACCCCCGTGAGGCCTGGATGGACATGGACATGGGCATGGAGATGCTCTGGATGAGTGGGTACACACAGGAGAAGTTAATGTTCACCCAACTATGACGACTGATCAAACCCTCTGAGCCGGCACCCTTCTGAATGGAGTTCTCGTAGAGGAAATGTGTGCCGTTGCTCTGAACGAAGACGACAGAAGTACATTACCGCTGATCCACTGTCAGCCATGTTCAATATTTTCATACATTTTGTTTTTTATGTAATCAAAAACAGTTATAATCCATGTTTACATGACCATTTTTTGTTACTGTGCCTTTAAGACTGATACAGACATATGCAAAAGTTTTGACCCCTGGTTTTGTTGATTTAAATTATTGAGAAAAATATAATACAAAATTTACGGCATATTTTATATTGTATGTTTTATTATTTTCCAAGATGTAAAATAAATATTGTATGTTCTCATTTTCACATTAAAACAATAAGTGAGTTGATGGTTGTGACACCACAAAAAAAGCTTTGGTTTTCCATGTTTCACTTCTAGTTAGAGAGTGTTTTTTTGGTTCATTTTGAGAGGGAAATAATTTTCTGCACCGTACCCGTAGAGTTGTCCCGCAGACATTTTGCTCGTTGTCGAAGTGGAAAAACACTCGGCCGTTTTGGATGGAGCCTGTGCACCTGGGGTCATTGAGGTGGAGAGAGGTTATGTTCAAGCCGGCCTCAAAGAGCTGACAGCGGGACAGAGATAAGTTAGAAGAGCTGCTCGCACAGGACTGGATGGCATCTGAAAGAAAGGTTGAGTGCATTGAAAGATCAGTTTAATGGACATTGGTTGGTGACACCACTTATACTAGACTGAACACATTGGACAAAAAATGAACTCACACAATTTTCTCCTTACCCTAAAGTAGCTGATCAGCCAAGCCATGTTTTGGGATCAAGTTTGCTTCTTCAGCTCAACCAGAGCTACATGACGGCTAATGTAGCTAACAAGTTATGGACTCTTACCATCCTGCAAACTGCGTTCTTAAATTCTAACACATTGGCTTCGAGGTGTTAAGTAATCTCTAATACAGCAGTTGTCAGACCTCGTTAGCCGAAGGCCTCCTTTGTGGGTAGTAAGTGCCACTTACATTATTCCACCTCACCACGTAAAACCAATCCCATCCAAATAGGACTATATAATGTCCAAATACTGAACAATTCAGTGTGGTTTGAGGCAAGTTTGCCTGATGCCATTAAGTTTCCATTTCTTGTTAGCAACATTAGCATCATAGCTCTGGAACTACAGAAGCAAACTTCAGACACACAAACATGTCAGTTCTAAGATAACTTAGCAAGAGAAAGCTAACATATCCAGCAAAAGCTAACCTAGCAAGCGAAAGCTAACATATCCAGCGAAAGCTAACTTACCAAACAAAAGCTAACCTAGCAAGTGAAAGCTAAGTTACCAAGTAAAAGCTATCCTAGCAAGTGAAAGCTAACTTAGCAAGAGAAAGCTAACATATCCAGCAAAAGCTAACCTAGCAAGCGAAAGCTAACATATCCAGCAAAAGCTAACTTAGCAAGAGAAAGCTAACCTAGCAAGTGAAAGCTAAGTTACCAAGTAAAAGCTATCCTAGCAAGTGAAAGCTAACTTAACAAGTAAAAGCTAACATGTCCAGCAAAAGCTATCCTAGCGAGTGAAAGTTGGTCATATATGATCAGGACAATTGTGTAAATTAGATTTTTAGGTTTAAAATTTATTCTGAAAACAGTCAGAAATTTGGGCTCAGAGTTTCAGGGGAAAGTTGCTCTCGTCCAAAAGTGAATTCAGAGTTCCAAAGTCTAAGTTTTACTATACCAAAGCTGTCAGAGTTGGGTCTTGATTGACAGCCGCATCCGAAGGCTCCACTTATTGTAGTGCACTCCTCGCTGTCTGTACACTGCAAGGCCTGGCAAGGATCTAGAGACAAAAACAGAGTAAATAACAAACGTAAGCTAACCTAGCAAGCAAAAGCTAACTTAACAAGCAAAAGCTAACCTAGCATGTAAAAGTTAACCAAGTAAATAAAAGCTAACCTAGTAAGTAAGAGCTAACCTAGCAAACTAAAGCTAACCTACCCCAAGCTGAAAGCTAACCTAGCTAAGGGTTGAGGATATTCCAACTGAAAAAGCTGCTCCTTGTTGTAGCCTCCACCTCTTGTGACCAGTTTAATCCGCAAACCTCATAGACCACTGACGTCATGTCATCATTCTGTAGTCGGCTTCATGCCCATATTAGAAACTCCAGGTCTTAGCTGGAATTTAAATGGCGCCCTGTGGTTAACATGGTGCTTCCAAACCCAACACGGTTTATCTTATGTACATTTGTCCACTGAATGTAATTGGATCCTCTGCATTATGAGGTCGTTAAGGAGCAGAAAAATTAACTTTGCTACATACGAGCTAGCATAGCTGTGCACTGAATTGACATTGTAAGACTAGAAACTGCACAAAAATACCCCAAATAAACCAGCAAGCTTGGTCAAATGTGGTAGTTAAGCTGCTTTGGTAGTAGTACAGTATATTTGGAGTAGCTGGCGTTATTGTGTAGTTGTGTTGAGGGTTAATAGTTGACTCAACTCAGTGTGCAGGACTGCTAGCTGGCTATTAGCACAGTTGTAGCAATGTTCATATTTCGAAAATTGAACAACCTCATAATTCACAGGATCCAGTGACATTCAGTGGCGCAAAACATAGCAGTTTTGGAACCGCATGTGTACCGTAGGCTGTGATAGCAGCGGTTTCTGAAAAATCCTGTTCATTTTTGCCACTGAGAGTTAGAGTTGCTAATATGGGCATGATGCTTAGTATGGAATGACCAACCGACTTCAGAGGTCTTTTGAGTTGCTAGTTTATTAGGCACACCTACTAATCACTGACTAAAATACCCAGTGGGTTGCTAGACTAAATGTTGGGATGTAATTATACCCAGTTAGCGAAATTTGTCTGGCTCACTTGTGGGCCGCATCCTTAGTTTGTTCTGGCCCAGTATATGGCTGGGTCCTCAGCCCAGATGTGGCCCATACACTGTAAAGTGAGTAGAACTATAGGATATGGCCCAAATCTGATCCCGATCTACATCATTGGTCCACAATATTCACGCCAGAATTGTCCTACAAATGTAGACATGAGGCAAAACGGTATGAAGCTGTCCAGATCTGGCCCTATTCTAGCCCACATGCCTAACATCTACCCGGTAGTCAACCAACACTCACATAGCAAAGCCAGAATTGGCCAAAAACTGTCTGATATCTGGGCAGTAACATACAACAAAAATTTGTACAGTGTCAACTTTTTCTAGCGTCAGCTTTAACATTATAGAAGTTGATCATGCAAGAATATCGCCTAAAGTTTAGTTTCACGTTTACACCAGGTGTTTCATGTTTTATGTTTCCTCTACTTTGACACACCTCAGTCATGCCCTGAACTAAACCCCTTCTGGTACTGAAGGATAGATTTGGGATTGGGAAAACTGCAGTAGGCTAAGCTAGGTTAGCATCAGTGAGCTAATCACCTGTTACCTGTAATTACCTGCCATGCAAAATTTGTAATGCCTGAAAATTTTACATGCACACTGTACTTAAATTCTGTGAATAATTGCTTTGGCTGGCTATAAGCTTTGCTTTAGAACCGTGGTGTGTTGTCTTTTTGTTATTGCTAGCTGTGTAGACTTCAGCTTGCTAACTTATACTTATTGAAGTTACACATCCAAACTATCTCCAAATATCTGAATATCACGCTGTTTACCGTTTTGCACATAGCCCTATTTATGTAGGACAAAACACATGGGGTTTGGAAATATTCTGTTAGCCACAGGGTGCGACAGCAGCGAGTCTCAAAAAATGCGATTCATTTTTGACATATAGGAATCCAGCTAAGGCCTGGAGTTTCTAACAGTTCATCTCCAGGGCCAAATGCGGCCCTTTGACAGATTTTAATCGGCCTGTTGCTTCTGTTTAAGATTGTGTTACAAGTGGTCCACCAGCCGGCCCACTGCAGTTTTTCTTTTGACCTGATGATGGTTAGCTAAAGGTTAAGAGCCTTTCTTTTCTGACTAGACCTTCATTTACTGAACGACATTTAGTCAAGACTAAGACCAATCAGTTGGTTACATGACATAACATTTGGGGAAGCACTCAGGGTAGCCAATCCAGATTCCAGGGGTTGCCAGTGCCACCCCTAACACCCCTCTGGCTGGGCTAATATTTATTTGAGAGGTACACATAAAGAATATCTTCACATATCTGAAAGTCAAGCAGCTTACCGTTTTGTGCCTTGGCCACGCCACCTGTGACAAAGAAGAGGGGAGCACAGAAAGAGAAAAAATTCAATACAATGGAAGTTCAAGCCCAACTTGAGAATGCTGAAAAAATGTAGGCCTAATTCAGTGCACAGACTTACTCATTAAGAGCAGGGCAGCCAAACACAGTCCAACTGGGAACTCCATTGAGAAAGGAAAGTGTGCTACACAGACACAAAATACAAAATAAGGCTCATATTAAGACACTCTTATGTTGAGTTTTGCACAACAACACAAGGCCTAGACGCAGCGATGGATCAGAAAATTGTAGTGAGGACCATTCTGCAGAAAACTGACCTACAACGGACAACCGCCGAATGTGCGTCTTACAGCAAAGGCCTTTCTGGATTTATTATTTTTACAGTGTTCCAGAATGTTCAGCTAGGATCCTTAACTACAGTAAAATTTAGTCTTTGATTTACAAAATTTGCTTGAATGAATATGAAATTTTGATAATATTAAGAGAAGATCGATGTCAGTTTTTCCATTTATGAAATGATTTGTCAATCCAAAATCCATAACAGTGTCCGCAAAATGAGCGGATAACTATTACAAAATGAGCAATGTTTTGTAGTATTAAGCAAGATTTGAGTTGGTTGAATAACATCTAAGTTCCTCAGGCACAAATTTAAGTACTGCACAGTTCTTGTGCAGGTTTGTGTGCTGGCACCACCCCTACCACCCCTCTGGCTACAACTCAATGTTAAAGTCTTACTAATAAATAAACCAAACCACAAATAAATTTGCACTTGTTAAATATGTGACATTAAAATTCAATTTTTGACCAATCAAAATTGGAGTTTGACAAAAAAACAGTGCTGCTGTCAGAAGAAAACCTTGTATCTCCATTTTTGATGTTTTTCAGTTTTTGACACATTTTGAAAATACCTGTTACCCTTTAAATTGTATGTAAATTTCATGATGAATGGACTAAAAGAAATGACCCAAAATGACTTAGAAAAACATCTGGTTCCACTGACTTACATTAAAAGTAAAGAAGGTTGTTTCTTCTCCTGTAAAGTTACCATTTTGGAGATACGAGGTTTTCCTCCGACAACAGCGATGACTATAAACCATTTGCTAAGGTTTTCAACCATGGAATAGAAAAGTTTATTATAGAAAAAAAAATACTGTTCCAAGACCTTCACCAACCTATAAGGACTGGAAGCATAAGAACACGGCTTATTCATAGCATGAAAGTAACCAACCATATACACATAAACAATAACTGCAAACAGTTATAGGATCATTAAACCCAAAGCCATAAATGCCCAAATAATAGTAACTGCTAATGCTAACTTACCAGGATGTGCAGGTCAAGCAGCGGTGATACTGGAGTGTCTACCTGTGTTAACGCCAAGCATCACTACTGACATATATATAGAGACTGGCACTCCCACATATGTGCCATGTGACTATTTTTGGGACACTTTCTCAGTGCGCTGACTTGATGAAGTTGGGGAACTGGAGCAACCAGCTCAGCTGGTAACAAAATGGGCTGGAATTATAAGCATTATATTGTCAGCAAGGAACACAGTCATGCATGAGATGCTGAAGACGACAACGTGGAACACCAGGCATCAGCATCTCATAGCTGTCAGAACAAAACACTGAACCTTCAAAATGGTAAATTTACAGGAGAAGGAAAAAACATTCGTAACTTAAAAAGTAGTGATGGCTGAATACTGAATACACTGTCCTAAATGTATTCAGTCATGTATTCTGTACAGTACTTAAAAATACATATTCAAAATACCTTTATTTGTTAAGGCAAATGGGAATTACTTCATAATGTTCCTCGCTGTTAGTATTGGCAGTTTTCCTCATGCAATTCTTCTGTTAATATGTTTCATTAAAAAATCTGCTTATCATTTAAATGGAGTTCCAAAAATGCTTAATTTTTTTCCTCTCTCCTGTGGGTCCCACAATCCCCCAAACAAAAGTTCAGTACAACACGGATGTAAAACGTACTAATCGTCTAGGCTTTTGGAATAATGTTCTGGAAGACAGGGGTCCTGTTACATCTGGGATAAAGCTAACATGTCATTAGACAATAAGAACATCATATGAACAGTGAAACATGGTGGTGGTAGTGTGACGGTGTGGGAAAGCTTTGCTGCTTCAGGACAACTTACCATTATTGATGGAACACTAGGCCTCATTCACCAATATCTTCCTAAGTGCTTTGAGAAAAGTCCTAAGAAAAAGTCTACATCAGATTTGCGATGTGTTCTTAAACCACAGAATTGTTCGCAACTTTAAATATCAGAATCGTGAAAACTGTGTAGGTGGGTTTTAAGAGGAAATATCGCTGTAAGAACAGCTGGTTAATGAGGCCCAATGAATTTGGCTCTCTACCAGAAAATTCTGCCTGAGAATGTCCAACCAGCAGTGAATGATCTGAAGCTCTAGCACAATTAGGTTATAACAACAATCTAAAATGCAAATGAAATGAAAATGTCCTCATATTCTCCTTCTGAAATTCTGCAATATGCATTTCAAGCTGACATTCTGCAGATATTTTAAGCCTTCCTCATTACAGGGATGGTATAAGTTTCCTTCTTTGTTGTTTAAACAGCCTGAGGCTACAAAGGGCTTTTAAGGTGTGTCTGTATATGGGAAGGGTAAGCAGTGCATGATCGTTGCAGATTTTTCTGTTTGTTTTTATGATACTAATTTGAGCTCAGGAACACAGAGATTAATAACTGATCATCACATTGATTTATCAGTCTACTCAGACTTTAGCAGAGCTCAGTAACACTGATATTAAGAACTGATCATCTCATTAATTCATCAATCTACTCAGGCTTTAGTAGAAACTTCACTTCAACTTCATCTGTAAAGAAACCTGTAATTTAGTTCCTCTTTAGAATTTGTCTAATGAGCTTTTTGCTACATGCAGTGCACTGATTTAAAAATAGTTAAACAAGCATTGATGGTGTTTCTTTTGAAGATTACTTGCTTTTATTATTTAGTGGGTAAAATATGATAAAAACTTTCTCCTAAAAATGTAAAAAGTAACTGTTTTCTGAATATTGCCTTTACAAAATGTAATTTAGACTGAATACAGATACTTCATTTCTGTATTCTGAATACATATTCCCAATACTTCTTTTCTGTTACATCCCTACCTTGTACATAAACATAAACATAACATTGTCAAAACACATTCACTGTCCAGTCCTTACAGTCCATGTATGGGAAGAAAGGCTGAAAAATGGTCACATAAAAATAAATGCTGTAAGAGGACCTCAGGGAGAAAAATAAAAATAATAAAAAATAATAAAAAAAAATAATAAAAAAAATTTGAGGACTGCATTTAGGTTAGGTCAACAAAACAGTTTCCCAAAGATCATCAAAAATGATCAACAAATGATCAAAACAACTTTAAATACAAAATATTTTATTAGTCAACATTGTTTTATTGTTCACTGTGAAAAGTGGTTCATCAGTTTAACCTAAAAAATTATTTAATATGGTGCTGAAGCGCACAGCACCTGTCCTCTGTTGAATTACTCAATAAAGACTTCCAAACTGCCTCTGGGAAGCAAAATCAGCACAAGAACTGTGCGTCAGGATCTTCATGTAATGGGTTTCCATGGTTGAGCAGCTGCACAAAGGCACAAGATAAAAATGTGCAATGCCAAGCGTCGGCTGGAGTGGTGTACAGCACCACCACTGGACTCTGAAGCAGTGGAAACGTTCTCTGGAGCGATGAATCATTTGTCACAATCTGGCAGTCTAATGGACAAATCTGGATTTGGCATACTGCCAACAGTAAAGTTTAGTGGAGGCTGTTATAGCTGCAAAGGGGAATAACTCCATATTAATATCCATGGTTTTGGAATGGGCTGTCCAACAAGCTCATATGGGTGCAACGTAAAATGTCCACATAGTTTTCGCCACATCATCTGTGTGTGCACATGTGTGTATATAAGCTGAATATATTGAATAATATATTTAAGTTGAATAAAATTAGTTAATTTAGTCATTACCATATGAAATCATTTTGTTTTTGGGTTGGAATTTTTTACAGTTTATGTGTAAACATGATCACCATATTTTAACGTCTAAATTTTCTTGAAGACCGCATACTGACTTGTTAAGGATGCAGGACTCGGGACTTGACTTGTTCTCACTTCTGGCACCATTACCCAAAAAATGGGATCAATTCAGTTCTCACAGTTGTGAGAGTGATACTTTGGGCCCAAATAGAAAAGCCTACAAAACTGCATGTATAAACATCAATGAAAGAATGCTTTAGCAACTTTAGCAAACTGCTTATTTAACCTTCATTAATTTTCCAACGTTTTGGGAATGTATAACATAACATTCTGGATATCTTTCTTATATTGCACAAGTAATCAACTGCTAATAACTTTCCAGTTGTCTTCATGTGATCCAGATTCTCCTCAATTCTTCAGCAAAATCATTCTTTACTCACGGATCTGGACACAATGGACCGCACTGCCATATTCCACTAGGCTTTAGCTTTATAAAATGTTATGGCTTTCTATTACGATGTTGTGCTTTCAGCTGAAATGACAGTTGAAGGAAGTTCTCTCATGTTGTGGAGCGACATTTTTCAGTGTGTTATTTTGCCTCAGGTTCCCAAGTGCAATCAAATATGACATTCAGCCATATGAAAGGCCGATATAAATCTGTTGTTTGCTTAGCCTGCTTGCTGAGCTAACATTATTTTAGCCAGTCAGGCTCTGGGTCCAAACACCACAGAACAGGTTTAATTTCACCTTTCTGTCACCTCAGCACCAGTTGCTCAAATTTACTCCCTCAGATTGCCATCTAAACTGGTGTTGGTGCTTCAGTTAGCCAGAATCCAACATGTTCTGTGGTGAGCAGAGCTGTTATCATACTAGCTACACTAAGACCCAAACAGTGCCACGTACCACAGTACCGGTTTGATTCTGACTAAATGGTGCTCTGCTGAAAAAACTGATAAAACTAACGTCTCCAACTGGTGTTGGAGTGACAGAAAGCCGAAATCAGACCTGTTCTGTGGTATTTAGGACGGTAGTGTTTTGGGTAAGTTAACACTAGCCTCAGGTTTTGCCTCAGGTTCCCAAACCTGTTCAAATATGACAATCAGCTGTATTCAAATACAGTGACAATGACAACTGTTGAAAAGCTGTGGTTGTGATTGATACATTTATGTACGCAGGCAAAACTGAAAGTGCCAAGGCTGTCACTGAGTGTGTTTACATGCACTCAATAATCCAATCATAATCAAATTTTTCTGCAGTTGTGATTATTCAAATGGTCATGTAAACACCATACTCCAATCTAGAAATCCGATTAGGAAATCTGATAAAGAAAGCTGGATTTTAGCTCAGTAATCAGATCTCTCAGTGCATGTAAACTCTTACTCTGATTTCTTTTGCATTTCTCAGTCTGCGTATGTGTGAAACAGACAGCGGTGCTGGAAATAAGCGAGCAGTGTTGCCGCGAGACGCAGCAAAACACTTTTGGAGCGACACTGAAACCAAATACATGCTATGCAATGGTTTTAAAAAAGGCACAGCATGAAGTTCGAGTTTTACGTTACGTTTACGTCACGTCTTCTTCTGTGAGTTTATTGGCTGGTTGTAAAGCAGAAATCTGATTACTGTCTGACTTGTGTAGACTTGGAGTTTCCCCATTATCTGATTACACAAGTGCATATAAATGTACTGATCGGATTACTGACACAATCTAACTTTCTGCAGTTATCGGATTATTAAGTGCATGTAAACAACAGTGATGTAAAAGCATTTATGCTGCATTTGTGTGGTCTCATCCTGTTATTTCAAACTCAAAAATAATCATAAAGTTTAGTAAATTCAATCAGTCAATAAATGTCAAAGCATCTGAAAATTGCTAAACGTTAAACAGCGCTGCTAACTAGAAGAGAAATGCTGGTTAGCATTAGTTTAACTAGCATAATAACAGCTCTGCTCACCACAAACCACTATTCAGATTCAAATCTGAGAGAGTGAAGTCGGGTCACTGGCACTGAAGGGACAGAAAGGCGAAATTGAACCTGTGCTGTATTGTTTGATTAGCCTGATGCTCATCTTAAGTGCTTCGTTCTCCAAACATACCTTTGGCGATTGCGGCCAAAGAGTTCCACTTATTACTTCATCAGTCCACAGCATCTGTCTCCAAAATGTCTCTGACCAGAGGTGTGGACTCGATTACTTGATTACTTGATGACTTGAGACTCGAATCGCCAAAATCAAAAAAGACTTGATTGGACTTTGACTTGAACACCAATGACTCAGAAAGATTTGAGACCCAAAGTGGAAGTGCATCTTTAAAAACAGTGTAAATTTGTGTAAATTTGAAAACAGATTATCCAAAGCT